TTGAGTCTTTGTAGAGTGAACAAAATTTAAAACCAATTCCTTTCAAATTCAAAACTATAACGACGAATTTGATAACAAAAAAGGTAATCTCTTCGCCAGGCCGATCCCGTAAATCCCCGTATCAGGGATCTCAACTCGGAAATTCGGCAACTAGTGAACGTACATAAGCGGAAGAAATGGGAAGACCATCTGAAGACCTGTAACTTCGCCTCTGGTGTGAGCAAGCTTTGGTCAACCGTGAGGTGATTGTCCAATCCGACGAAGCGTGATGACAGAGTTGAAATATCTTTTGGCGACCACGCTACGTCGAACCCGGAGCGATGCGCGAGCTATTTTAGCCGAAGGATGCAGTATCCTCCGGCAGACAAAGCCAAACGTAGAGCGACCAGAAGGCTGCACAAACTGTCAACACTAAGTGCGCCTCTTTTTTCTCCAGCGACAAGGTAAGGATAGCCATCGGGAAGACGAAAGTCTCCAAAGCCATTGGACCCGACGGAATTTGCATGCTGATGCTCAAAAATTTGGGTCCTGGAGGAGTGGACTATCTAACCAAGGTCCTCAACCTATCTATGGCCACTCTCATCGTACCAGACATCTGGAAAACGGGGAGAGTGGTTACACTGCTTAAACCGGGGAAACCGTCCAACAATGGAGACTCTTCTCACCCGATAGCTCACCTTTCCCCGGTAGCGAAGACACTAGAGGCCCTTCTACTCCCACACTACACAAATCACTAGACCCCAGCGAAGCATCAGAATGGGTTCCATAAAGTGCACAGCACAACAACAGCACTTGACGCCATAAACTCCCAAATAATTCGTGGCCTTAACCGAAACCCCCCATGTAAGAGAACTATTCAAGTAACGCTACTAGAAGACAAACGATGGGCCAAATGAATTCCCGGCATACGGAGAGACGCGCCATGACTCGCAGCATATCTTCGCATGCCCACTGAACCCCACCTGCTAACGCCTCTGGCCTTATGGACAGACCCCATCGAGGCTGCACGCTTCCTTGACGACAACGATACAACAACAACAGGAAACCTGTGTTGGCATTAGCTGAGGGAAAAGACGACATTTCAGAGTTCTTAAAAATCTAACTTTAAAAGACGCACTGCGCAATAAAATTGACTTTAAAGAACAAAAAACTCAATCTGGATATAGTGAACAATCTGTTTTCTATGAACTGGTCTTGCATTAATTAGTTCACTCGACCCAGATAGCACTGTACTTGCATAGCAATAATCGAACACATCAATTTACTATTTCCCTTATGAGTACATGCCCTCTTGAATTGTAGTAATAAAGGATCCTTATTTGCATATCTAAAACAACATCAAACATAAAAATATAATTCCTAAACTTTTTCCAAAACTCGTAAAAATTCAGCAAATTTTCATCAAAATTTTCCACTTTTTAGTCAGATTTTTTAGAGTATGCAGTTTTGCAGCCAATAAATTCTAGTAAAAAATGCAAGTTCCAAGTTAGTCTAAAATCGCGTTGATTTTTGAGACTTTTTTTTGTTGAAGGTGTTTTGCATTTTTTCCATATAAAGTATTTTCGAAAAAAAAAATTATATCCAGGAGTTACCGTTGATTTTTGGCAATTTTTTTTCATGCTCAGGGACCCACAAAACGTCACAAACAAAATAAAAAAAAGTGTGTGAAAAAGTGAGGTGGTCGAATTTTGACAAATGGGCGATACCAGTTTATATGAATTCTTTTATATATTCGTAATGCCACATATACCAGATATTTGCTTCCTTTGTCAGGTGTTTAGCCAAGCTGTCGTAGCAATACTTATGTGTTGAAAGCTTATTATATTTATTAAAAGACTCAATTTAAAAAAAATATTTAGTTTAATTAAACGAGGCATCGTGCGCGTGCGTAAACGTAAGCAAAAATCACTCACGTGCCCACCGCCAGTCGCTACCACTGAAAATGATACATCGGAAATCACGCCAGTATAGCTTTTGAGATAATCATTCTTCATTAAGTAAGAAAATAAAACGCAATCATATCTTTGAGCGAAAAAATAAATGTTAAGTAATAATATCTTCTTCTTTCTCACGCGTGAGCATGTGTGGTTTTGAGAGAAACTTAAAGTAACTTCCGTGATCGTGCGTGACTGAAACTTTGGTTAACGTGAGCGTGCGTGAGTTACATTTTCTGTCAACCACGTAACTTTCACATCTCTCGCCCTAACTTCCAAAAAGATTTAAGCCACATTTTTTCAAAATTTTCCTTTTCGATGCAGAGATGTTCTTGGAGCATCTAGATGCATTTCTGGAACCAAAATAAATAAAAAAAATAAAAAAAATCGCTTACGTCTTTTTGGCGTTTGGAGCTCGTATGATGTACATATGTATTATGAGTATTTTCAACCAAAATAAAATCGTTAACTATTACTGTTTAATTTATTTACTGTATACACTCCTGACGACTTCCCCACAGATGAATCTGCAAAAATTGATTTTGAAGACATTAATGCAGAAATACCGATTTATTTGAAAAAATTAGAGAACAAAAGTTGTGACGATGCTTTTCAAGGCAAATTTTACACATACCAACTAGTTTTTCTGTGTCAGGCAGAATTCTAGAAGAAAGACCTAAACGACTGCTTGGTGGAAACCTCGACAAAGTAATATTTTTAAACAAAAATATGAGCTAATGTCAATTTAAATTTACATTGAATGAATATTGGTATGTGAATTCTTTTTTATACTCGTAACACATTATTATTATTATAGTATTTGTAAAAAATAAATTATAGAGCGTTCGTCCCAGGCAAGGCATTTGGCCAAGCTCTTATAATAATATTTATATGAAATTCTGTTTATATAAATAAGGTTTAAGCTGAAAAAAATGTCCGTGAAAAAGCGTGCGTGATTGAAAAACTAGACGTCGTGAGCGTGCGTGAACGTGAGCCAAAATTACTCACGCGCCTATCTCTAATCCTAATCTGTTTGCATGGACGACGGGTAGATGATATGACGAACTGTCAGATGTTTATAATGACATGAACATAATTGATCGCCTAAAAATAAAACGATAGCTTCGGCATTTGATCGCATCTCTCAGCTGTTTGTTGATGGAGTTAACCAATTTGTGCACTGAACGGCTCAAATGGTGATTCGGCTCGGCACCCATGGGTGGACAACGAGACTGCAAAGGGCGCCCACGCACTTTATGGAAAGATCAGGTACCAAAGGGTGTGAGCAACTGGCGGAGCTTTGGAAAAAAGAATGGAAATCAGCGAAGTTTTTTTTTTGGTCTCGGAACAAACAGTTGTAGCGCCAAAAAAGAGCACTGTCACAGAAAACACAAACGGCAACTAAGTACATACATATGTATGTACTCTATGGTAATCGCAAGCTGAAAACATTAAATAAGTTTATGGCTAATACAATGAATATTTAATTTCCGAGTAACTGTCAAAAGTAGATTGTTTCAAAATTCAAATACGAAATAAATAATGGCTGCGTTTCTTTATACATTCCGGATAATCCCATTTCACAGCCGGAATAAACAGAATGCGTTTGAAATATACGTCAACATATCATCAGGAACGTTCTAAAGAATAAATAAACAAAAAAGTTTATTCCAAACATTCAGAATGAATAAAGAAATGCAGCCAATATATATCAATACTTATCATCGTTTGGAAAAACCATGTTACGTGCATAAAAAAGCCTCTACGCGTATTGCATTACTCAATTTTTGCAATTTTAGTATTTCCCCATCTAAAGTAAACAGAAAAAAACAGAAACAATTCCATAAATTTCTAATATTTATAGCCCGCCAAACAAATATCAGTAACATACAAGTGGGAACATACATATGCATACTTACATATACATACATATGTGTACATTAGTGTGAATCACCAAAAAAAAGTTGCGGAATTATAATGTTTATTAAATTTTAAGATCTCTGCCAAAATAATTCGAAACAATTTAGATTTACGTGAGCTATGCCGATTTGCAAATACCTGCAAAGATTTTATTATTTTCATTCCGTTGATGAAATATTTATACACATTTTTATGCATACCTACCAACATATAAGCTTAAACTCTTCTATCACCTGAGGTGATTTTAAGAAAAAAATATTTTTAAAAGCTAATTTTATTTATAAAAATTGGATATTTTTGAGGTATTTTTCAATAAGTTAATCTCACATAAATCTAAAAAAAATATTTTTTTCCAAAATATTTTGGAGGTAGCCCTAGAAATATTGAATTTTATATTTTCGATGGAAAAAGAGTACCGGTTTTTGTTTTGGGTGGAGAGTAATGCACCCTAATGTACATAAGTACATGTAAACGTCGACAACGCCTTAAACTACTTCGTGTCCGTCTCAATCTAGATTTTAAAACAAGCTCGGCGATGCGACATAACTACCTAAATAGTATGTATGTTGAACCTGTACGACATCCGCGCATCATAAAAGAAACCAGGCTTTAAAGATATGCTTACATATACATATATGTGCACTATGGTTACATGTATGTATGCATGCATCCCTGCAGAAAAAAATTATCAATTGATAAAAAATAACCAACGTGTAGTTAGCTTTTCGCGGGACTTCTATAAAATATATAACTTTCAGTCGAAAAGTAATGCAGGAGTAATGCAGACGTAATCGGAATATTGTTCTCTTTAAACAAGTTTGTTTTTACATAAATATCGTCATACAAATTTTACTTTGAATACACTTTCTTTCTGCCCTTCACAAATACTTTTTCGAATTGAGGACAAATAAATGGAAGGTCGAAAGAATTTTGTTTTCTTATCAATACTTTATATCCAAAATTAGTTAGTTACAAGTTAGTTGACATCTAAAAAATATCAAATAATAGTGACCTTTAGTTACTTAATCAACGTCAAGGTAACTTATAGTTAGATACATTTCCCGCAGGGATGATATAGATAACAACGTATGAATGGGGCGAACTTGACGCTGTTGTCATAGCGTTCGATGCTTCTGAGAGATCTGAGTGTGAGTATCGATTTTCTGCGAATATATAAAATAGTTTCTCCGTGTAATCGCACACGATAACATCGTTTCCGTTATTGTTAGAAAACAAAATATATGTATTTGTACTAAGCAGTGAAGAAGCGTAATGTTTGCCGGAAGAACATTGGAGGACTAAAACTCTTCAAGTAAAAAAGCAAATCGATTTCGGTGTAAAAATTTATTAAAGCAACACTGATTAGGTGAGAATGAAGAGAGTTTATCATAAACCATTTATTCATGATGAAAGAGTGGTATTTTTCTCAATCCGGAAATAATTATTTCTTGAAATGAGTTTAGCCCTTATTTACTTCGAAAAAGATTATAATTCAACTCAAAAATTAAAGAAGAAAGTGATCTGTTTTGGTATGTTTGGAAGCCTTTTGCTGTGAAAGTAGTGAATGGTGTCAAAAAAAAATATAAAAAAGTGACTCGAATCTGCTGATTACAATGTCAAAACATTAGTATCTGTGAATGGTAATCGAATCATAATTTCTTTTGCAGTGGGTTTACGTTTACACGTTTTGGTCAAAAACTCAATAGATCAACAATTAAAAAATAAAATAAAATTGCGCCGACATATTGTTAGTGGTGTATTAAGCATTAGCAGGGCTTTCAAAAATATACCAGAAAAAAAGTGAAAATATGCGCTATAGAAAGCTTGATAAATTACCAAAATATACTCTTAAATATGTGAAATCAATGAAGGTTTACTCAAATTTTTCAATATTTTTATTCAAAATTTAGAAAACATGCTTTTTTAAATTAGCAATCTAAACTGAACTCTTGTCGTTTAAATTGTTGAATAATTAGAAAAACTCCATTCCACATCTGTAGATGTAGTTGGGCAACATTTAAACAAACTTAATTCTGCTGGGGAGCACTTCGATAGATCTTCACTACTAGTTGTGGAGCTAAGAAATAATATCTGGCCAAAATACTTTCACGTTTTTTGAATGCATATACATATATTTGTGCTCAATATTTGGTAATGCTCTTTCACAGGTGTCACAATTTGCAAACTATCTTTCATGGTCAAACATTTTTTTGCTTGAAGCTTTATTATAGCTACTTTCACAAAACCAAAATTTTCCTAAATGAGTACCAAATTTGTTCCGACTTCTTCAAGCTCTAGCAGTATCAAGGCGAATTCATACCAGGTGGTAGCAGAAGTATAAAAACATATGTACATATATAGGAATTCACCTTGTCACACGCATTTCTATCGTGTTTCCCCAAAAAATGTGTGAAATGTTTTCAAATATTCAAAAATAAGCACTTAAGTCGAATATATGCAAAAATCAAAAAATTTCCAGACATATGCAAAATAAGCTTTTTCAAGCATTTGCCTAGATTTGCCAGCCTTGGTTATTAGGCAAAGAACATAGTGACGCGATAAAGAGAGCGACAAGACATTATCGGATAAAATAGGCAAAAACAAACCTTTATTTTTCAGAAACGCAAAGAAAGCGGCAAATAGCATAGCGACAAAAATATCTTAAATTTTCGAATTCGCCGCGTAACACTCTCATCTTTAGTGATCGCATTTTTGGTACTTTAACAACTCTCAGTAAAATTCTGCACTTAATATTTAATAGGATATTTTAACCTCTCCTTAATAAACTTTTACAGAAAGGAGTCAAAGCGACCCATAAACAGCGGTGTTAAAGGGTTAAAAAAATGCACGAAAGAATTGCTCGCTAAATTTTACTATAGGTTTTTGAAGACAATACTTCGACACATGTACATTTTATCTTTTAATTCAAGTATATATTTAAAAAGATCCTCCTACACCAAATTTATATGAAGGCCTATAATATTTCTACATTACATCTTTGTAGCTCAAATGTTACTTCTTTACAACAAGCGGCATAGAAACCCATTACGGTTAAAGTTGAGAGTTTAAAATGTTCTACGAAAAAATTGCTGTCTCAGTTTTACTATGTGTAGTAGATCCCTGTTGATAAGAATTATCTTTGATGTCACTTTTTACAAAAAACCACATGATATACTCGTAGAATTAAAATACATAAGTGTGACAAATAAGTGTAAACTTTAACCCACCGCAAAAAAAAAAAGTTGTGACGACTTGGCGCGTAGATGCTACTTAACATTCGTACATAATTTTGTTGAAGCCCTAAGACAAAGCCTAATTATTTCGCAGTGTTATTAAATATACTAATAAATATTCACAGATCATTACACATGTACAGATAAACATAGAAACCTGCATACATATTTAACATATGTATACTTATTTAAATACTTATCGATATTATTTACAATTAAATTTCTACAAAATTTTGATACATAAATACATATGTATACATACATACATGTTAGTATACATATGCACACTAGTAATTTCCAATTGAACAAATTTCTTGCCGAACTTTAATCTTGCGCTTTGTACAATTCAGCAGCATTTAATAAGAAGTGATCTTCAAAGCGTCTGATTTTTTTTAGTTTAAGTGGAAAAGTGATAATTTTGTTTATTTAAATAATAAATGAAAGATAGTGATTACTCTATCACAAAACCGTTTAATATAGTGTTAATCTTTTGAATAAATGTGAGAAGTACGGGTTTGCTATTATTAATCAAGGGGAGGGACTCGTCTTCGCTTCCACACGAAATTTAAGCTGCGTGACAAACTAACCAAACGAAAGCAACACTTTTAATATTTCCAAAAGCATAAATCGCTATTGTTATTGTGCTGTAGTGTAGTGCTAGTATATTTCAGTTAACAGATGTACGTTTTTTATAATAATTAATTCATAAACACGCGCCCAAAAATTCAAAATCGGTGAAAGTGTTTACGTCAACACACCACACAAAACAAAAATTAAATTATATTCATTAATTAACATTTTTTGGTAAGCAATATTTGGGTAAGTTTTCTAATACATATTTAGCTATTCTACCGGTTTAGAAGTTTATGACGCTCTTATCTAAGCAAACTTCTATCAAGTAGAATTTTTAAATACTTTTATCTAATTTATTCAATGTAACTTAAACATGCAGTGGCTTTCTTTGGCATGGGAGACATATCTTTAACTTACAAATATTGATGTTTGAGTTAGGTTTTAATAGAAATGATTAAAAAAAATTCAATGTTTACAGCTGCAAATTTATTGTATCGATGCCTGAGTAAAATATCAACCTATCTCGGCAGCCAGTTCGTAAACGCCCTATCACAAAAAAACTTTTCAAGAACTCTCTGCGGCAAAATTTGATAGAAGAACGCCCTATTTCAGAATTTCATTGAAAAACACCCTATCTCAGAATTTGGTTGAAGAATGCCCTACCTCAGCTGCCGAGTAAAAAACGCCCTATTTCAGCATATTTTCAATATATTTTCAGGTGAGATAGTACGTTTTTGAACCGAATTCCGGAATAGGGCGTTCCCCAACCAAATTTGAAGATGGGGTGTTTTTCAATCAAATTCTGAAGTAGGGCATTCTTGAAAAGTTCTGTGAGATAGGGCGTTTTCGAACTGGCTGCTGAGATAGGTCGATCTTGCACTCAAGTGTCGATATGTAAATACATACATACATATAAAAGCAGGGCAATGTTAACATATGTGGGCGCTCGATGGCCGCAGCGGATGTGGGACGCTATAGCGATTACTGGCTTCACGGTTGTGAAGGATATTTTAGATGAAGATGAAATACGATTAGAGGTAACTACCTTAATTGCCACCCGACTGTCTACGTATAAGTTTACTTTTTAGTTGATTGCCATTTCGGTGGAGGCTAGCTCTGCTGCTATCCTCGTTGCGATAATCTCTGCTTGAAATATGCTGCACTGGTCAGATAACCTCACTGCCCACCTGACGTTCAGTTACCGGCAGTATATTTCGGCGCCCACTCCCGTTACAACATTAGTGCTGTCCATGAAAATGTTTTAGAATCTACGACTAGGTTTCATTCCCTTGCGCCAACTCTCCATCAATGCACTGTTCATTCCGCTCTTTGGAAAAACAAATGAGCATCAAATTCAGATTCAGCGACCCAAATTAGTCTGAAAAAATACAGATTAAAAAAAGTCTGCTTCGTTAATTAAAAATCTGTGAAGTAGAATTATGTCCGTTTTTTCAAAATTTGATGCTGTCGGGGCACCTCTAAATAGACGATGAGGCAAATAATATTTTGCATCCTTATTTCTGGGCGAGAAAGGCAGATTTCTGCATGTCTTCTTAAGCTATTCAAAAAAAATTTAATTTCACGCGACTTGATTAAACAGTTTAGTTGCTGTATTTTTTACTTCAGCTTTAATGCTCGGCGGCCGCTGCGGTGTATCGGTTAGCAGTGCACGCTACCATTCCGCAGGGCCTGGGTTCAATCCAACATCAAAAAATAAAAAAACAAAAAAGTTGTATTCTAATAGCGGTCGCCCCTCGGCAGGCAATGGCAAACCTCCGAGTGTATTTTGCCATGAACAACAGCTTCTCATAAAAAATACAATCGCCGTTCGGAGTCGGCGTAAAACTGTAGGTCCCTTCCCTTTGTGTGACTACAAAAAAGCACACGCCACAAATCGGAAGAGAAGCTCGGCCAAACCCTAACATATGTGTAAGCGCCAATCTATTATTATTCTAGTGCTTATCATTAGTATACGACACCCACATATTATCAAGTTTTGACTACTTTTTTTATTACTTACCCCAAATTTTAAGACCTAATTATGTTTGTCATCTTTTATATGTATCTTAGACACATAGAAAAAAATAAAAGTAAATAACATCAACAAATAAAAGCATATTTAATTTTGCTCTTACAGAATATTTATTACGCGTTCATTTCCAACCAATTACGTCATGTGGACGGGAGGCTTCATTCTATTACTACTGGCCTTAACACTCCAGGTCATAGTCTGTGTAAAGCAGCGCAATTCAGAAACAGTATATCAGTGGAAACAGCTCGTCTATGGTTTCCCTACCGAGCAAGATCGACAAGAAGCACTAGCCAATGGTAATTTAGTACCAGCAAATGGAATACCAATCGATGTGGCGCCACACCAACAATGTATGTATATTTATTTACAAAGCAATTATTGAAAAAATATATTATGCTCTTTAGTGCAAAATTTAAAAAATATACATATATTGCTTTTCTCAACTTTAACAGCTCAAAAGGGTTCGCGTGTCTTCATCACAATTCCCCGATTTCAAACCGGCATCCCGTACACGCTGGCCACAGTGAGTGATAGTAATGAAGCTAATGGTCCGGTTCTGATACCATATCCTAACTATACTTGGCATAATGCCAATGGCGAAGATTGTAATAAAATCACTTCCGCATTTCGTGTGGCGGTAAGTTAAAGCATTGAGCACATATGTAGAGTGCCCAGATGCCTAAATAATTTTAATGTATGTCTTCTGCTTCGCTTAGATCACAGAGTGCAATCAGATGTTTGTTATTGATTCAGGCGTAATCGGAACTACTCAAAACTGTCCGCCACAGCTACTGATATTCGATCTAAATACAGATACTTTAGCGCATCGCTATCGCTTTGAAGGCAACATGTACGTGCCGGTGGCTTCACTACTCATCACTCCACTTGTTGTCGTGCACGATCCTCCACCGAAAGGCCGCTGCCAACGCCTGCATGTTTACATTGTAAGTATGTAAATGCTATGTATTACAAACTGCAAGCCAAAATTTCCGCTCACGCACTCTTACAGTGAGACCAGTTTTTCTTTTTTGCTAGAGGCTGTGTTATGTATACTATATGTATCTTGGCATTGTCAGGCATACATAAAGTTCGACTTTGAAATATAGTCGCTTTCTTGAGTAGATTCCTTAAGTGACAAATTTCACGCACTGTCATGCAATGCTAAGTATGCATAAATGAACCATGCCTTCACACGCTCATGTTTTTCTTGTTTACATTAATATTTCATTCAAGGCTGATGTCACACATCACGGCCTGGTTATCTATGACTCGGAGTCGAATAGCGCCTGGCGTGCCGAGAATAAATTCATGTACCCAGATCCCGATTATGGCACGCACACGATTGCACGCGAAAGCTTCATTCTGATGGATGGCATGTTTGCTTTGGCCACGGATCACCGCCAACTCTACTTCCATCCGTTGGCCAGCAACAGCGAATATGCGGTGCCTTTGAGCGTCTTAAACAATCGTACAAATTGGGATGGCAACATGGAGGCAATGCAAAATGAATTCCGTATGGTGGGCAAACGTAGTAGTGAATGTGCTGCCGAAGCGATGGACAGTCAGCGGAATTTATATTGTGTCACATTCAATCCGATCAAGTTGATTAGATGGAATCCGTACAATGTAAAGAATGAAATTGAAGTGCCGGCAGATCCGCGTTTATTAGAGTTTGTCAGTGGCATGAAGGTGTACAAAAACGGTTCGGGAAAGGAAGAATTGTGGATGATATCGAATCGTTATCAGGTATAAGCATTATTTAGCATTATTTCTTTGTTGTGGACTAATATTAAACACATTTTTTTCTCATAGAAAATAGCTGCTGGCACTTTAAGTGACCGTGAAATTAATTTTCGCGTAGTGAGGCGGCCGCTGGATGACATACAGGCGCAGAACATTCCCACGCCTAATCAAGATCTGAGCCAACGACTGATCTTCTCTTGAAGAATTTAACAAAAACATTTACCTTATAAGTACATATTTAATGTTTTATTAAGCCTTTCTTGGCAGATACTTAAGTAAGCTTCTCATCTACGTATATATATATATATATGTATATATATATTATATATATATGTATATATATAATCAGCCTCATTGTGTACGTCGCAAAATAGCCTTAAATCCACGATTTGACTGATTGGCATTGCCTATTTTCGTGCTGAAATAAGTAGACGCCGAAAACTTGCCAGTTCTGCCAAGTATTCCCATTTTAATAAACTATTCGAATCGAAGTTTTAAGCAATGACATGTATTTTTCGATACGACTTGCATCCGATATACACCACACTCGCAATGTGGCTAAATATGTATGTTCACCTGGCTATATTACTCTGTAAGTAGGTACATAGTGAAATCAGTGTCATAACTTCATAACTAGGGCTGGGAGTTCTATCCCAGTTTCTATTTATTTTTTTATCCATATAATCCGGATATTCGAATATCTTATTAAAAAATCCGAATATCTGGATATTAACCAGATGTGAGTTGGATATCCGATATCCGGATTTTATCTGTATACACGAATATACGAACGGATATCCAAATACACTCGCTGCAAAAAAAGAAACCTAAACAAAAAGTTTACTAAAAATATCAGAGGTGGAGCAAAAAGAACTTAAAGGATGTTCACATATAAATATAAATTCAATCAAAGCTCGTTTTATAAATAACCCGTTTACACAGGCAAATCTCAGATTACTAGCTATCAAATTTTTTGTGCTTTTGTGATCGCTTTTTTCTGCTATATTAAGCAATTTAAATATATTTTAACTTAATATTTGTTTAAAAATACCTTTACAAACCTCTTTTCCTTGCTAGCGCATATTTTTTTTCGCATTTCTCCTCTTCTTCGCAAAAACAATCGATAAAACTAGGTTGGATACCGAAAAGTTATTGGTTTAATGTGAGATTATTTTATAATTACAGATTCAACGAGGGACGAATTTGGTATAGCTAATTTCTTTTTCTAATTACAGATTAGAGAGTTAAGCTCGAAAATGAGGATAATCTATTTATATGTAGACTTAGTATTAGGCTTAAAGGCCAAATTAGAAGGGGCCCTAACCATAACTCCATAACGTAGCAAAATACTTCAGAGCTGCTTTTGGTTCTGACGAAAAACTAAAATAGAATAGATCCGGCTCTGGCGTTATAATATGGCTCTAGTAATCGTTTACAGAGCTGCGTGTATGCTTTAACGGAACATTTAATTGCTATGGTTATGGTTATGGCTATGGTATGGCACCAGTAATTCAGCCTTCAAGAAGGTTAGTCCTCAATACTTATTTATTTCGGTGGTAGGTAACAAGATGAACAGAAATAACGTCAACTGACACTATTTCCCACAGTGATGCGAAATAAAATCAATTGACGTGATTACCTTTTCAAAAGCGAAATAAAGTCAACAAAAATTTGGAAATTAAGTAAATGATGCTATTTCCTAATTTAAATGGAAATACCGCCAACAATGCTTAAAGTGGGTCGATTTAAAGAAAAAATGCAAAATGCCCTGATTGCCACAATACAGAAAAACTCTTACAATAACTTACAAATATAAAAATGTTAAATATGTAAGATATATTTAATATATAAAACTTTAAGTAAAAACTATACTAAAAATATATCTACCTGCGTCACAGCACGGCGGGCAAGGTGACGCACCAGTATGCGAAATAGTGTCAATTGACCTTATTTCCGTCGATTTTGTTGCCTGTCCCCATTTGTTTCATATAAAATTAGTTTTGTAAAAATAGTTCATAAGATTAAAATCAATATGCACTTACGTTATAAATATTGTATGTAAGTATTTTTAAGAGTAAAATTTTATGAAAAAATAAATGGAAGCAATGCAAATAGTGTTTAATTATTTTAAAAAATTTTCAAAGCAATTTGGCTACAGGTCCGGTCTTTCAACTGAAGATACTCTACATGAATTTTGCTTCTTCGTAAGAACTGGTATATACATACATATATGCATGTCCGGAATGAGTTAATCCAAAGTGATATTAGTCGTGTAAATATCTGGTCCAAACAGCGTGGACTCCAGTGTAACTCCTACCAAGTCCGATATTGTGCTCGTCTTGAGGTAACATAAGCTTCCTCTATTCATTAAATGTGGTAGAATTCACTTTCTCAACCGTGGTCCTTGGGGTTATTTTAGACAGAAAAGTCGACTGGAAGCGAAACATGGAAGGTCACTCCAGGAAAGCCATTACCGCCCATACGCCAGTATAGCAACTATAATAAAAATTGGGAATAAAACCAAATGCTGTACACTGGATGTAGACTGCTCTGATAAGAACCAATGTCTTCTACGGGATCACCATCTGATGGTCGTCTTTAATCAAGACTCTGTCCATATGCAAGATAGAACGGGTAAAACGGACGATTTGTATGATTGTCAAGGAAGCACTACCCTTACACCCTTTAAATCTCTCGAATTAATTTTAAATCTTTCACCGGTGTATTTGGAAACCCTATAGAGTAATGTACGAAAACTAGATTGTATGTACTAAATACTCTACTATATACTTGCGCTCTTTAGGTAAAAATTCGCCCTAAGAATCCCAATTGGGAGGTAATTGGTACGTGCTATATATACCGATTGCTCTACGGCCGCTACGAAGGTCTTAGCTTGCGGCCCTCCAGTACGCCCTATCGTAATATTTGTATGTATATAAGTTGCTTTTAAATCTCTATAATCGAGCGGAACAACACTGAAAGTAGCCAAAGAATGCTGAAGAACTCTCAACCTGCTAGAATTTAAACGTTTCTGCTCCCTTTTTTGAGGCTCTATGCACAGGGATATTCCTGGTAAGTGCATGGCCGTCGAGTTAGCAAGAACAGAGACGGAAATAGCTGTAGTCAATTCTGCTCAGGACGTTTTTAACCCCCCAGCAAACACACATACTTATGGCGATCTTAAGCTGTCACTCGCCTTGATCGTGCCTATCTCAGATAAGTGGTCGGGGGTAACAACCAGGCACTGCCTTATCGTCGCATACGATATCGTATTACTCGTTACGGATTACGACATACGTAAACGCACTCTGTATCCCATGCAACTTATACGACTGACGTATCACGTAATTTTCTCCTTTTAGATTGTTAGTCAATCTGAACTTAGCGTACATTTTCGAGTAAAATTTTACACCACCCACATATTAACAAGTTTTGGCTATTTGTTTTTGTATTATTTAATTTTTATTATGTTTTTATGAAACATACTTTATTCTTGGAATAACCCAGTTTAAATCCAAGTTTAAAATTGTGTCCAATATTTAAAACAAATTCAGTAAACTTTCGTAAAAACTTCGACCTTTTTATTTAAATTGTTAAGAAAAATTTTGAGTGTGCAGTTCTAAAGCCCATTAAATTTTTGTATAATAGAGTACAAGTTTGAAGTAGCTGAGACTTACCGTTGATTTTCGGCATTTTTTATTTTTTTATTTATTTTTTTAAGGTTTCGCTCATTTTCTCCACATAAAAAATCGTCGTTGGCATCAGCAAATTTCAATACAAAGGCCAAAGATGGAATGAAGGCTTCAAATGTTTTGGACGTTTATAGAATCAGAAAGCCAAACATCGACTCAGATCAATCAATGCATGGCAAGCTCAACGTCGAAAAGCTGCAATAGCACAAAAAACCACCAACTTTTACGCCACGCTGCTGGTATTAAAGGAAAAACAGTCTTCCCCCGTGATAGAAATATCCGGTAAAGAAGGACTTGGCTTCCATCGGCATTTCCAATTAGCGTCGGTTAGACGGTTACAGCGCCGATCAAGAAGGTGAAGAGATGTAGTTCACCACTACACTGAGGGAAAAAAATATTAAAATCAAATAGAAACGTAATTGATCTTACTATAAACGTCAACTAAAGTACTGTATATTGGTAAATATTCAATTCAATTACGCGCATATTAAAATGACCGCGCTCGTACTGAAAAAGCATCCGTGAAGTGAATAATCAAGACAAAAACTAAAAAAAAAAAAATTAATTTGCATGTTGCCTGCAGTGGAATTCGAACCCGACCATCTCCGGATATCAACAACTTGTGGCAAGCATCTTTGCGCACTCAGCTACATCCAGACATATAAATTTGCTTTCAAATGTTGAATATCCATCAACACCACAGAACGCGATTTGTCCGGATAAACATGTATGCAGCGTTGCCATTTTAGCCGTTTTCCGGCTAGATTTAGCCGGTTTTGATAGCAACTAGCCGGAGAAAATTCGATCTAGCCGGCAGCCGATTTGTTAGCCGGTTTGTAAAAAAAAGCTAGCCGTTTTTAGCCGATTTTACTATTTGCCTAATTTTCAGGTGCAAAAAGTAAACAAGTTGTTCGAAAGCAATAATGCAGACCCAATGAAGATTTTTAATGAACTCAATGTTTTACTTTCGCATCTATGCTCCCTAGTGGTTATTAGCGCGGACACCTTTGATCCTATATGCTCCCTGTTGGAACCATACCTTGCTCCATTTCCTCAGTTTTATCACAGTTTTGAAGAGTATTTAAAAACAAAAGTAAGCACAAACGCTTTTGACCACGAAGCCGAGAAAATACTTCGAGAAAATGGTCGCTATTTTATTATCACTTTAATAAAGGAATTACGCCAACGCCTCCCTACAAATATTGCCACACTAAAAAAAATTGACTTTTTTCGGTTGGAAATGCATTAAGAGTAATTAAACCAAAAGTATTTGTTCAACTACAGCAACAAAAACACAAATATAATGCCGACGAAATAACATCCATAGAGATGCAATGGCAACGGTTAACGTTACATACCTGGAGTAATTTAGACTCAACTGTAAAATTTTGGGCCGAAGTTTATCAATTTCCAAATGCTCTAGGAGAAAACCCTTTTGCTGACCTTTCCAACCTAGTTTTTAGTTTTCTTGTTTTGCCTATAAGTAATGCAGACGTAGAGCGAATATTTAGTTCAATGAATATAATAAAAACTAAGCAAAGAAATCCAATGTGCGTTAAAACGTTAAACGCTATTTTATATATAAGATACGGTTTAAAACGTGAAGAAAAATGCTGCCATAATTTTACTGTAGATGACGATCTCTTAAAATTTATGAATTCAGGTGATATATACAATAGTGATTCATTTGATGATGAGGAATATACACTCGATATAAATTAATGGTGTTAACTAGTCTTTCGTTTCTTGCGATTTATTTAAATAAAGCATGTGAATTTTCACTAAAACATTTTAGCCGTTTTTTGCCAGAGTCTATGTGAAATTTCACTAAAACATTTTAGCCGTTTTTAGCCGCTTTTTTTTGCCAATCTAGCCGGTCGGCCCAAAAAGTTCTGGCAACACTGCATGTATGTACTATGTATGCACGATTGACAGAAATTCTTGAGAATTCTACTCTCATTCTACCATTCTTGCTATGTGTGTATGTGTGTTTTGTCACCGCTCTCAGTGCGGCGCTCTGCATTCTTGGGGTGCGTATGTACACTTACATATACATACTCAGATGTGAACAGTCAAATACGTGCGTAATAAATTTTGTATGAAAATATTATTTTTAAATACGAACATTTTTAAACGACAATCAAATATAAAGTATTCATTTTTACTATGCATTATTTCCCTCAGTGTAGTAGCTTTCCCTGCGAATATGTGTTGCCTTTGAGCGTCTTGAACAACTGTACTAATTGGGATGGCAG